CCTTTTCTGGCATCGCCGTTGTAATAATGTTGTTCGTTGTCATTCCTCCATGCTTATTTTTCCTCATTCTCGCCATACCCTGGGCATTCTCCCCATCCTCCTCAGCTCTTTTTGCGGTGGCTCTTCCTTGGAGAGCCTCTGGGGGCCTCACCAAAGTTCTCAGGCTTTCTTAAAGCCTTCTGGAGGCCTCCTGGGTATGTTCTGGGGGCCTCTGGGGTTTCCTAAGGCCAACATCGGCCAACCTGCCTCTAACCGCGGTCTCCCTGAACGCCCCAGTCACGATTTGGAATGTTTCGGAGGGTGTCTTGGGGCCATCTTGGGCCGCCATGGTGTTCTCTTAGGGCCGTTTTGGACCCCTGTTGTGCCGTTTTGGGGCTCACTTGGACTGCCCAGAAGCCCTTTCGGATGCATGTGGGGCGATTTTGGAGCCTCCCAGGCGGCTTCGCACGCCGAGGAGACCGCCGTTTTGGAGCGTCGGGAAGCCGAAAAGGGAAGAACCCCAAATGCACCAAAAACCTACATAGAATCCATGATTTTTCCCTCTTGGGGCCTTCTTGGGGGTGCTCTTGGAGGCCTCTCGGTACGTTTTGGAGCGATCTTTCGGGGTATGACGGCTTCTTGGAGCGCTCTTGTACTGTCTTGGGGGTCTCTGGGACGTCTCTGGTGACCCCCCTGATCACCCTGGGTGTGCTGCGAAGGCTTGGCAAAACGCCCTGCGAGGCCCAGGGGGCCGCTTCGAGGCCCGTCCGGAGGGTCCCAAAGCTGCAGATCCCGGGGGTCCGGTTTTAGGGTGGGGGGGGTGATGGGTTTTCCCCCCGCCCGGGCTTATAAAAATATAGTAAGAGGAACATATATACATATATACATATGTATATGTGTATATATATACACATATATATACACATATACATATATATATATATATATATATATATGTATGTATATGTCGTGGCGGGCTCTTCACACCGCTCGGAAAATCCATTCACCACAAGATGGGCATGCCATATGCTCTTGTCGGACGTGCGCCTCCAAGGAGAACGCGTAGCACTACGTATGTCTTTGCACGCCCCATCTCACGCCGTACCCCGACCAGTCGGCGGCGGACAAACCTCCCTTTCGCAAACCTCCCCGTAGTGAAAACGGCCCGGGACCGACACCGACGGATCTGGGCCCGCAGACATGACGGCCGCGCCGCCATCTCGCGAAGCGAAAACGGCCAATCGCTCGATCGACGCGTCAGGGGGGGAGGCCCGCCCCCCCCCGACCGAACCGCCACCGCGTGCGCCGAAATGAAGGGGCCCCAGGACACACACACACACACAACTAAATACACGCAAATAAAAAAGATTCCCCATAGTTTCCCGTATGTTCTGGGTTTCTGTCCTCCCCCCACTCCTTCCCATATTTTCCCGTATTCCCTGTGGAATCGAGGATGAATTGTGTCTGTGTGTTTTTTCCTCTCCTGGCGAAAGGGCCACCTGTCCTCCAGGGGGGGGGGGGCCGGGGCCGCACGCCGCAACGAGGGCCTGCCAGGCGGGGCGGTGGCCTCCGGAGCCCCATAGCCCGATCCCTCCATCGACGAGGTCGGGGTGGGAGGCCCGTCCACCGTCCACACCCTCCTCCTCCTCCGCCTCCCTCCTCCTCCTCCTCCTCCTCCTCCTCCTCCTCCTCCTCCTGCTCCTCCTCCTCCTCCTCCGGATCCCCCTCGCAGGCCGTGCCCCGACCAGAGGACCTCGAGGGGCGCACGCCCCGGGGCGCGGCGACGAGGGGCGCCGAGCAGGGGCCACGGGAGCCCCGGGGGCCGAGAGCGAGCGCGAGCCCCTGCGCCGAGAGCCCGGCGCCCCGCGGAGGTGCGGGGCCCAGGAGCACACAGAGGAACACACACACACACACACACACACACACACACACACACACACACACACACACGCACACACACACACACAGGTCCCAGGATCCCCCCCCTTCTGCTATATGTTCTGGGTCTTCGTCTTCCCCCCCCCCCCACTTCCCAGGTCCCAGGATCCCCCACCTTCTGCTACATGCTCTGGGTCTTCGTCTCCCCCCCCCCCCCTCCCCCTTCCCACGTGTCCCCTATACGCTCCTGGGGGTCGACGACGAAGTGTGCCTGGCCTCTCTGTGTGCGTGCTTCCCCTCCCGACCCGCAGCGACGTGGGGTTGCTCCGGATCCTCGTGCCAGCTGTGGCGGTATCGGTATCCCCTCCTCCTCCTCCCCTGGATCTCCACTCGGTCGTGGCTTCGAATCCAGCAGCGCTGACTACCCTGCAAAGCACAATCACGCAGCTCGACGACCGAGGCGAGGGCGAACTGAGAGACACCCGAGCGGAAGGACCGACCGAGGGGTCCTCCTCTGCATCTGGCACGCGGCTCACTTCGGGGCGGACGAACGGGGGGGCGCAAAGGAGGGGGTTGCGCATCAATCATCACCTCACGCAATCCGCTGGTGTCTCCCGGCGCCTCCCGGCGCAGCGGGCGCCAGTGCATCGAGGAAAGCGCCAGACGGCGGGGCGGGAAGCAACAGATGTCTGAACCCTCTTTTATTTGGCCGCAACACCACGCCACAGGTGAACAGTGCAACGCTAGCTCCGTGGCCGAACCAGCGAAATAATAAATTCAGGTTACAGCAGGTATATGAATTCATCCAGGTCAACTGTAACCTGATCTTTCTCAGGCAGACCCCTCCTGAGCCGACGAAGATTTTTCAAGCGAGTCTCCCCTCCTGCGTCGGACCCGGGTGATCCTCGTCGTGTGGTTTTCGGGTCCGCGCTCTCGGCGAGGCGCGGCCGCTGGAACGCACCCCCGAGGCCGACCACCCACCGAGGAACGACGAGCACCGCCGAGAGCAGCTGGCTTGCGCAGGCTGCCTACGCGCCAGGTGTCAGCGATAGCCAGTCATTCATTATCGAATCGGGGAACACAGTCGACCCGTATCACAAGGATGCACGATGAGGATGCAAGGGCCTTGGAGGGCCGTTTCGAAGCCTTCTAGCGGAGCGCGGCCAACGAACGTGGCCAGAAGGGACCGAGGAGGCGAGGATGCAAGGGTACCCTTGGGAAGGTTGCCCATCCTTACGATGCGGGTTAACTGTATGATCGGATCGGAGTGTGCGTCGGATCGGGCTGCATCGGCACGGAATCGACATCGAATCGAATCGGCTGCGCCAGAATGCATCACAACGCCATGCACGCCTCGGGCTGCATCCGACCGTCGGAGCATCGGAGCCGAATCGGATCGAGATGGCCGAAAACCGAAGTCGCATCTGGGGAAGTCAAAACGTACTGACACCCCTAGGCGAATCTAGCGGTGGCGACGAGGTCCTCCCCGGAGGCCCCACAAGGGAAAAACGAGGCATGGGTAGCAGCATGGATACCCTTTTCTAGTAGTAAAGAAAGAATTTGACAAAAACTGCACAAACATACACAATCGGCGCTCCGCGCGGATTTCTTGGATATGTGCTGGACCCCCCTCCCCGGCGCGCGGAGCGCGCCAGGGGCGGCGCCGGAGGCGCTGCCAGGGGGGGGGGGGGCAGCGCGGATCCAAGAAATCCGCGCGGGCGTTTATCTTGTTCGATTTTCCTCCCAGTCAGCGCCCCTCTAACGGGGACTCCACCGACGGGAACTATGGCCAGTGGCCCTGCGAACCTGGCCATCCCCGATGTGGGCCACGCTGCCATGATAGAGAGAGGCCCAAAAGTGCCAACTTTTGGCAAATCTCAACAGTACCCATTAAGGAGTACCCAATATGGTGCCGCTGACTGAGAACCGGATCGATCGGACCGGAATGGGAGGAGGAGGAGAAGGAGGAGGAGAAAGCGGAGCAGGAGAAGGAGAAGGAGGGGGAAGAGGAGGAAGAGGAGGAGGAGGAGGAGGAGGAGGAGGAGGAGGAGGACGACGGGGAGGAGGGGGAGGAGGAGAATGGGTAGGAGGAGGAGTAGGAGGAGGAGGAGGAGGAGGAGGACGAGGAGGACCAGTGGAAACCGAACAGTCATCAACGATGTTGGAATGAACCCTCCCTCCAAACTCCCTCTTCATAGGCTCCTACAACGGTTCATTTCCATTGAGGGAACTGCCTCGTTGGAAGACAACACTTTGAAAATCCTGAAGCGTACCAAAACATTGTTCTCGGGATTTCAACGCCACGTGTCAACCCGACTGCTGCGTCTTGACGATCCAGAACCATGCCCGAACGCTATTTTTGGGACTTCAATACTGCGAGTCAACATAACTGTTGCGCCCGCATAATCCTGAATCCGTCCAGAATACCGTTTCTGGTACGCTGATCATGGGAACCCGTCAAACCCTTGCAACTGTTTAAAACGGATGTGCGCGGCGCTAAGGCGAGAACCACATTTTGAAAAGGAACCGCCCTCAATCCGTGAAAGAATGTGCGCGGCGCTGAGGCGAGAACCCCATTTTGAAGACCACCCGCCCTCAATCCGGGAAGCTCTTGTAAAGGCTTAAAGGGATATGCGCGGCGCTAAAGCGAGTCTCACATTTTGAAAACCACACGCCATCAATCCGCGAGACTCTTGCAATTAGTTTAAACGAATGCGCGCGGCGCGAAGGCGAGAGCCACATTCTGAAAACGGCCCGCCTTCAATCCGTGAAACTCTCACAATTCGTTTAAACGAGTGCGCGTGGCGCTAAGGCGAGAGCCACATGTTGAAAACCCCACGCCCTCCATCTTCGAAGCCGCTGTCACTTCTTCAGCCTCAGAACCATGAGTGGTGAGGAGATCGGAGGCGAAACGCCCGGCCCGCCCAGAAGACGGCCCTCGGGGTGCGACGGGGAGAAGAAGGAGAAGAGGGAGAAGAAGAAGAAGAAGAAGGAGAAGAAGGAGAAGAAGGAGAAGAAGGAGAAGAAGGAGAAGAAGAAGAAGGAGAAGAAGGAGAAGGAGAAGAAGAAAAAGGAGGAATGGAAGAGTCTGTGCCGGCCCGGCTCTCGTCTGCCCCCCGCCCGCGCCGCGGGGCCGCCGCGGCCTCCTGCGGGGCCGCGGCCGCGCCTGGCGCCCGGGCGGCTGCGCCCGCGGCCGCCGCCTCCTGGCGCGCGGGGGCGCGGGGCGCACGGGCGAGTTCGGTGGCAGCCCATGCAACAGGGGATGCCCTGAGAGGCGGAGGAGGGGGAGGAGGAGGAGGAGGAGGAGGAGGAGGAGGAGGAGGAGGAGGAGAGGAGGAGGAGGAGGAGGAGGAGGAGGAGGAGGAGGGAGGAGGAGGAGGAGGAGGAGGAGGAGGAGGAGGAGGAGGAGGAGGAGGAGGAGGAGGAGGAGGAGGAGGAGGAGGAGAGAGGAGGAGGAGGAGGAGGGAGGAGGAGGAGGAGGAGGAGGAGGGAAGACGTGAGGGAGAGGGGCACCCGTGTGAGCGGAAAACAAACTCGAGTGAGCTGGTCCAAACGCGCTTCGCAGTGCACCAACAGCTGAGCTCCCATGAGCAAAGCCCCCCCCCCGAAGCATCAGCCAGACGAGTCGGGTTTGCACCCTGACGCCTTGCTGGGCTCAGGGCGCGTTTCGGCACTGCCACTGCCGCCGCCACCCCTCGTCAGGGCCACCGACTCCGGTGACGGTGACAGCGACAGTGGCGGTGGCCGACGCGTCCAAGCCTGGCGGCGTGCAAAAAAAAACTGCGAGGAGCTCGATGTCCTCTGAGCCGGACGGGGGAGCAGCAGTAACGGCAGGCAGGGGAGACACGACAGGAGAGCAAGACAAGACAAGACACGACAAACGTGAGGGAGGCACCCGTGTGAGCGGAAGACCTGATCGAGTGAGCTGGCCCGAAGACGCTTCGAAGTGCACAAGAGCTGAGGCCGGAGCCAAAACTGAAGCGCACAGAAAATTGCCAGGGCCCACCCTGCAGCTTCGGAACGCGAGGAGGGAGGAGGAGGAAGAGAAGGGAGGAGGGAGGAGGGAGGAGCCCCGGAGGAGGGAGGAGGAAGAGGAGGAGGAGGAGGAGGAGGAGAAGGAGGAGGAAGGAGGGAGAATGGGGGGAGGATGAGGAAGAGAAGGAGGAGGGAGGAGGAGGCGAATGAGGAGGAGGAGGAGGAGGAGGAGGAGGAGGAGAGGAGGAGGAGGAGGAGGGAGCAGGAGGAGGAGGAAGAAGAAGAGGAAGAAGGAGGAGGAGTGAGGAGGAGAAGCAGGAGGAGGAGGAGGACGGAGGCGGGAGGGAGGAGGGAGGAGAGGGAGGGAGGGAGGGAGGGAGGGAGGAGGGAGGGAGGAGGGAGGAGGAGGAGGAGGCGGAGGGGGAGGAGGGGAAGGAGGTGGAGAAGGAGGAGGAGGAGGAGGAGGAGGAGGAGAGGAGGACGAGGAGGAGGAGGAGGAGGAGGAGGAGGAGGGGAGGAGGAGGAGGGGCAGAAGGAGGACGAGGAGGAGGACGAGGAGGAGGAGGAGGAGGAGGAGGAGGAGGAGGAGGATCCGTAGCCATTTTGGCTCAAGGTTAAAAGTTGTGAAGGGCTATAGACGCCCGAGAATCAGCGATTAGCCTTGGCACTCCGTGGCCACTCTCGAGGCCGGCTGGAGGCCGAGGCTTTTCTTCTTCGAACCCACGGCGAGCTGCCCGAGCCGCCGTGACTTGCGAGCGAGGTCCCTTCGTGCTGAGACGCGGCCATGGCGCCGGCGTGGACGTGCGGGACCTGTGGCTTCCACAACTTCGGGCACCGCGGCACATGCAAGCAGGCAGCGTGCAACGGTCGCAATCCTCATGGCCCCATCCCGCAGGTCCAGTTCTCCTGGGGGAACCCGTGGTGGGGCATGGGCGGGTTCGGCGGCGGCGGCAAAGGGGGCAAGGGCGGAGGAGCCTTCATCCCTGGCGGCGGCGGCGGCAAGGAGAACGGCTTCAAGGGAAAAGGTGGTGGTGGCGGTGGAGGAGGGGGGGGAGGAGGCAAGGCGTCTCCACCTCCCAAGCGTGAGCTTACGTCCGAAGAGAAGTCGTTGTGGCTCAACCTCTCGGAGGAGCAGTTCGCGCTTGCATCGCAGTCCATCCCACGCCACCAGAGAGACTCACTCATCCATCAGCGCGCTCTCCAGAACTATGGCCTCTCAGGGGCCAAGGCGGAGGCAGCGCAGATCAACGCGCTCATTGGAAAGTACAGCCAGCAGATGGTCCACCTCAAGCAGAAGGTGGCGCGCATGCAGTCGAAGGCGGAGGAGGCGGTCAAGGCCGCCATCGTGGCGCAGGAGGAGCTGGACACCGTCCAGCAGCAGCTCGAGGACGCGAAGGCCCGCGGGCTCTCGCTGGGCGCGCAGGGCGGTGCGGGCGAGGCGAAGGCGGCGCCGCCTGTGTCCCTCGCCCAGCCCCTGCAGCAGGCGCTCGACGCCTTCGTCGGGGCTCTCCCCGAGGGGGAGGCGGGCGAGGGTTTGCGCAAGGCCTTCGACACGATGCGCGAGACCTTGGAGGCGGCGGTGGCAGCGGCGGAGGCGAAGGAGCCGCCAGCCGCGGCCGCCGCCCCCGCCGCAGGCGGCACTGGCCCAGGCGGCCCAGGCCCCGCTGGGGGCGGCCAGCCGAGGGCGAAGCGGGAGAAACGAGGTGAAGTGGAGAACGCCGCCAGTGCTGAGGGTCGTCGTGCAGCTCGTGCTGATGTTGCTCGCGGCCGAGGCAGTGGGGGACAGGCAACGGACATCGAGATTGACGAGGACCAGCAGGACGAGCACATGGAGGGAGCCGACAACGCCCTCGCCCGAGTGGGAGATGGGCTACGTTCGGAGTTCCATGGAGATGAACGGGCACAGCAGTGCGTCTCGTCCGCGCTGGACAAAGTCAAAGAGCAGATGGAGAAGGAGAGAGAGGAGGCTGGCAAGAGGGGCAACCGCAGCAGGTCACCGACACGCTCGTGCGGCTCCTGACGGCCTGAGTTGGGATTTTGTCTCAGCTAATGTCACAAGCTGGCCACGGTGCCAGTCTTTTCTAGAGGCCGAATGCCAGTCAAAAGTTTGTTTCCTTCAAGAGACGAAGGTCAAGGTAGGCGATACCGCTCAGGCGTCGAACACCTTGGCCAAGGTAGGTTGGAATGTTCGTTTTGGAACCTGTGATGTGACCCAGTCTGAAGGTTTATCAGCAGGGGTTGGTTTGGCCGTCCGCAAGGGGGTAGGCATGGGCAGCAATCCCTTGGAGCCTCGACCTCATTCCAGGGCCGTCGTGGCTTGGGTCGGAGGCTGCGTCGCGGGAGGTTTTTACGCTGCCAGTGTTTACCTCCCGAGCGGGGACGGTGTAGGAGCCGAGGGTCGCCGCACTCTTTTCCAGGTTGGGGAGTTTCTGTTCTCCATGGGAAAGCCGTTCGTCATTGGCGGCGACTTCAACGCTTTGGAATCTGAGGTGAGAGGCACTGGTTTACTCGAGAAAATCGACGGGGTCATAATTCTGACTGGCAAGCCTACGTGCAGAGGGGGCAAGGATTGGCGCGAGATAGACTTCTTCATTGTGTCGGCGAGCTTAGTGCCCTGTGTTTGGCGCTGCGATCGATTGGAAGGGTCTGAATTGTCCACCCACTACCCCATCAGAATGTCGATCAGGACGAGTACCCACCTGGGTCAGATCAGATGTTTGTGGACGCTCAAGAGGTTTCCTGATCTTCCGATCGGCCCAGCGCCAGTCCCACCAGGTTGGTGGGAAGGCATACAGATTCAGGTTGAGCAGCTGGTCCGCGAACCAGCAGTCACGCAAGCTCAGGTCTCGCAGGCATACGCATCATTTTGTCAGGCAGCCGAGCTAGAGCTCGCGGAGATGTACCAGCTGGAGCTGTCGGGCTCCAAGGGGAACTTGTTCGGCAGAGGCGACAAGTTTAAGTTCGTGTATAAACCAGCCATTGTCAAGGTTGGCGGGCCACATCCCCTGGGGTCTCCAGTGTCTAGGGCGATGCGAAAGTTCCACACGCGCCTTGAAGAGTTGGGGCACCTCAAGCGTAAGGGATACGTTGATGACGATATGCAGGTTTGTGAAATCAACCGAAAGCTTCAGAAGGCCCCCGAGCTGCTCTGGCACTCTTCAGGCTGGCGGGAGTGGCGAGCGTGTCATTCTAGTTTCACGGGCTATGGGGCGGCCTCGATCAGGGACGCCTTGGTTGATTTGAGCAAGCTGATCCAGTCTGAGGAGGCGTCTTGGGTCAGGCAGCGTCAAAAGAGGTGGAGATCTTGGGCTTCAGAGGCGGTGTCTAACGGGGGGAGTATGGCTCACAGGTGGGTGAAGGTCCCGAACGAGTGGATCCCAGATGAGCCAGGCCCTGACGGAACCCCAGGAGGAGCGATGGACCAGATCGAGGCCCTCGAAAGTGAATGGAAGGGTATTTGGAGGTACGGTGATCTGAAGGAGCCAGAGGCCAATTTTCTGCAGTCGTTACCCATGGATGACCCTCCAGAGCCACCTGAGCCTCAGGAATTACGTCGAGTTCTTGGAAAGTTTAAGAGTCGAGCGGCGGTGGGGGCCTGCAGGTGGCCGCCATCACTTTTGAAGTCCTTGTGTGACGACGGGCTTCGAGTTTTCGGTCTCCTGCTGCACATGTGGGAGAAGTTCGTTTGTCTTCCTGAGCAGATCATGCTGCTCATCCTCCCTTTCCTCCAGAAACCAGAGAGTGGGCAGCGACCAATTGGTATTTTGCCCACACCTGTTCGTGTTCTTGGGAGATTGCGTCATAGGGAGGCGGAGAGATGGGAGGAGGCGAACCACAAGGAGTACATGTACGGGGGGAAGGGACGGAGCTGTGAGATGGCGGTATGGAGGCAAGCGATTAACAACGAGGCGGCTATCGCCAGCAAGTTTTTCCGTGCCTGCACGCTGATAGATCTTGAGAAGGCGTACGAGAGAGTGACGCACCAGCTCTTGCTTCGTTCGTGTCATCGACATGGATTTAGCATCAGACGCATTCGAGTGCTCCTCTTAGTTTACGGTGGGCCTCGCAGCATTAAGGTTGGCGAGGCCCTGTCCCTCCCTTTCACAGTCAACAGCAGCATAGTCGCGGGGTGCTCGTTCGCGACGACGCTGTTGAAGATAGTGCTTAAAGATGTGTGCGACGATTTTATGGCTAGATGGCCCCGTCTTGGATTGGCGCTCGTGGTCGACGATTCCACCATTCAAGCGTTGGGGTCCGAGCCTTTCGTGAAGAAAGCACTGGTGTCGGGAACGTTGCAGTTTTGTCGGGGTTTGGAGGCCTTGGAGATGAAGGTTTCCAGGAAGAAATGCATTCTGGTGGCATCCGACATCAAATTGGGCAGATCTCTGCAGCATAGTTTGAGAGAGTTCAGTTTCAAGTATGTGCCCGCGGCCAAGAACTTGGGCGTAGACTTTAAGTTGGCCTTCAACAAGGGCAGGCAGGTGACGAATAAACGAATCACCCTCGTGCGAGGCAGGGTGCGACGATATCGAGCGTTCCGATTCTCGAAGAAACCGATTCAGCAGGTCTTCAGAGGTGGGGGAACGCCCGCTGCGATGTATGGGGTGGGGGTGGTGGGGATGTCCAACACCGCCCTCCAGAAGCAGCGTGCCACGACGGCAGCTGCCCTTTTCGGCCCAGCCAAAGGAAGGTGCAGGGCAGTGCAGTTTTTGTTGGCAGAGGTGCCGCAGGTTGACCCGTCGTACCTGGCGAACGCCTTGCCGCTCATGATGTGGTGCAAGGCTATTTTTTTGCAGTGGTCAACGGAGGCACAGATGCAGACGGCCTTTGACAAGGCCAAGAAAGAAGCTACTAGAGGCTGGAGTGGTGTCATTGGCCCCGCTGGAGCAGTGGTACAGACTTTAAGTAGGTTGGGCTGGACTGGGACCTCCTGGTGTAGTTGGGTTACTTCGTCGGGGCTTCGCCTGGACTTGCGCGAGTTGGGTCCTCGAACGATCAAGGCCCTCGTAGACGACACCACGGAGCAGCTCAGTTTAAAGAAGGTTAGCGAGTATTATGAACTGTCTTGGGAGCCTTTCCTGGAACCGATCAGAGGTGTTATTGCCGAGCAGAGAAAGAGAGGGGACCATCTTGGGATCAGCCTTCTTATCGCTCAGGTTTCTGGAGGTCTCTGGACGCAGAAAGACTTGTTCAAGCAGCGCTACAGCTTGGACCCGCTTTGCAGATGGTGCAAGGCCCGAGAAGGGTCCGTGCACCACAGGTTATGGGGCTGTGATGGCTCCTGGTTTTTACGGCGTGATCTCGACCCAGGGGGAAGCCTGCTGCAGCAAGGGATCAACGCCCACGCAGATCTTAGATGGACGCGAGCCTTGGTGCCCAGCGACCGCGAGGCCATCCCGAAGATTTTGCACGGAGCTGAATTTAAGTGGGCCCATCCTCCTCACCGTGATGGAACCCTGGGGCCATTTGTTTGTGTTGATGGTTCTGGATATGACAATGCCTACCGATGGTTGGTCAGAGCAGGATGGGCAGTAGTATCTGTTTCTTCTACGCTGGAGGTGGAGGCCATAGCGTACGGCCCGTCACCGCTTCCAGTGCAGGATGTTCCCAGTGCAGAGCTTTTCGCCTTTTTTATGGCCCTGTCGTTCATGGGCCCTACGATCACGATTTGCACGGACTGTCAGATGGTCGTCGACGGGTGGGAGGCTGGGGAGGCAGGCACTACCCACCCAAACAAGGCGTATGCGGAGCTCTGGAGGCAGATTTGGAGGAGAGTCGTCGACGTCGGGAGAGAGAACGTTCAGGTTGTCAAGATTGCCGCGCACCAGTCGCGGCGTGCGGCATTCAACCATGGAGTACCGCCTCATTTTTTCCATGGGAACAGGCTCGCCGACGAGTGGGCCAAGAAGGGTGCCAAGGCGCACCCGATGAATTTCCACGTCCGCGACAGGATAAGGTTTCACCATGATCAAGTTACCCTGTTGGCCAGGTTCCTGACTGAGGTGTTGAAGCATGTGCACAAGTTAGGGTACCCAGACGTTGAGGCCATCAAGGAGCGTAGGCAGCGGGCCCATGTTAATTCAGAGGCCCCCCTGCTTGAAATAGTTCCAGATGATAAGGGTCACAAAATATTACAGGTTCCTGGTGGGTGGGGATGCTGTGTCTGTGGGATCGGGCGGGTTGCGCGCTCTCGGCTGGTGCAGCTGCCGTGCCCTGGGGTCCCCGTGGTCTTCCAGAAAGCTCACACCACCCACCGCCTTTGGGCCAATGGGCCCGTCTTGTGGTGCTCGGCGTGCGGAGTGTACGCCCAGCAGCAGGTCAAAGACCTTGCCGAGAGGTGTGCGGCTCGCACCGTCGGCGAATGGAAGAAGAGGTCACTGCGCCTCTTGAAGCAGGGCAAGAATCCGTCCGCGCCGAAGGCGGAGGCGGTAGTGCCCGTGCCCCTCCATCGGTGAGGGCGAGTTGCAGTGCGGGCATCTTGTCGTCACGGGATGCGTCGCTTGGAAGCGCAGAGCGCAGAGGAGGAGGAGGAGGAGGAGGAGGAGGAGGAGGAGGAGGAGGAGGAGGGGGGAGGAGGAGGAGGAGGAGGAGGAGGAGGAGGAGGAGGAGGAGAGAGGAGGAGGGAGGGAGGGAGGGAGGAGAGGAGGGAGGAGGTAGGCGCCTTCCGCCCCGCGAGCGCGCTCACCCGCGCCTCCACGGCGGACAGCCGGCTGCGCGGGCTCCCCCCTTCGGCCGCGGAGGCTGCCTCCTGCGGCAGGGCCGAGGACGTCATCTCTGCTCCTCCCCCCTCCCTGCTCCAGGTTCGTGCGCTCCGCCTCGTCCCCTCCCCTCCTCTCTCGCCTGCGCTCCCTGAGCCCCCTCTCCGCTCCCTCCTTCCCTCCTCCCCTCCCTCCCTCCTTCCCTGCCTCCCTCTCTCTCTCTATATTCCTCTCCTGTTCTTTATGTATGTGTACCTCTCTGTGTCCCTGTCTTTCTATAAGCGTGTACATATAATGTTATGTGTCTTGTTATGTGTTATGTATACATATGATGTATGTATCCCTCTTCTTTTGCTGTTCTCTCTCTCTCTCTCGTCCTGTCCTCCCTTGCTATGTCTGCCATCCTCCCTACCACCTTCCCTCCCTCCCGTCCTCGCTCCCACGGTCTCTCCGTATATGTCGTTTTCTATCTCTCTCGCTATATATATAAATATCGTTGTCTCGTTGTCTTTGTTTTGCTGCATGTCTTTCTTTCTCTCTCTCTCTCTCTCTGTCATTATTTCTCTCCATGTCTCTCTCCCTCGCCTTCTCCATCATTCGCCCTCTCCCCCGCCCTGTTGAAGTCCCATGTCTAAGCATGAAAGACTGTTGATCCACCTCTTTGGCGCGCATTGCTAACATTTTCTGTCACACAAGGAGCGCATTCCTGCTCAGACTGGGTTGTTGGCCTCCCGGAGTACAACAACAACCGCAACAGCAGCAACACTTATTTTTAAGACGATTCGCTCTTGTCTGCTCGCGTGCAATTCACCACGTGTACTCCGAACCCTCGATACCCGCCCTCTTCGTTTTCGAACGTACCCCCTCGGGGGTATATCGTTCGTACCTGCATCGTGTATTCCGTGCAGCCCCTAACGCAGGAGAATAGAGGACGGATGGAAGGAGGGGACAAGGGGGAGGGAGAGGGATGGAGCACGAGAGAGAGAATAGCAGGAGGGGGGCTAGGAGCAGAAAGCACGTGGCAGAACCAGTCAGGCAGGGGCGGATAGACCCTGACAGGCGGGTCGAGAAGGCGGGCCCAGGCGGCCAGGTCGAGCAGGCGGGTTGCTGAAGCGTGCGTCCTGCATGAATCGCGAGGAAGTCTCGAGCGACAGCGCGATTCCCAATACATCGCAGGGAAATCCACTGCGAGAGAATGATTCCTGAGTGTCGAGGGCTCGGCGTCTGAATCAATTGCGAGGAAGTCCCACGCGAGAGCGCGATTGATGCATACTGTGTGAGGAGGTCCCGCGCGAGAACGCGAGTTGGGACTACATTGTGAGACAACCACAACAACAATCAGTTCGCTCGTATCTGCTCGCGTGCCACTCGACACGTATATCCTGAACCCTCGGTGCCCGCCCTCTTCGTCGTCGACCGTACCCCTTAGGGGTATATCTTTCTTACCTGCAACGTGTATTTCGTGCAGCGCCTAAGGCAGGGGAAATGAGGACGGACGGAAGGAGGGGACAAGGGGAGGGAGGAGGATTGAGCACGAGAGAGAGGGAGAGAGAGTAGCAGGAGGAGGGCTAGGAACAGAACATACCTGGGAGAACCGGACGGGCAGGTTGGGCGCCAATCTCTCTCGCGCTCCAACCTTCCCCCTCCCCTTGTCCCTTCCCTCCTCCCTTCCTTCACCTGTTTTAGGGGCTGCGCAAACTACACGTGGCAGATAAGGAGGACATGCCCCCGAAGGTGGTACGATCGAAGACGAAGAGGGCGGGTATCGAGGGTGTGGTTATACACGTGGAGCGACACGCGAGCAAACAAGAGCGAACAATCGTAGCATAATCGCTGTTGTTGTTGTCGCTGGCGTTGTTGTTGTTGGTTGTTGTTGTTGTTGTGGTTGTGGCTGTGGTTGAGATTGGTGTTGTTGCTTGTGGTGTATGTGTTGATGTTGCTGTTGCTGTTGCTGTTGAATGCTCACTTCTGCCGAATAATTGTTGCTGATCTCTGGAAGCGGTCCCGCGCGCTCTGGCCTCTACGCTGGCTACATGTTCTCTGAGAACGAAACTCCCGCGCGAGCACTGGCTTGAGTGTAGAAGTGTGTCCTTGGAGGCCCTACTACAACGACAACGGCTTCCGCTCGATGCTTCCTCACACTCTACCCCGAGACGCTCTGGAACGGCGCTCCCGCTCGAGACACTTCCTCGCAATTCAATCCAGTTGGCGGAGGCCCAACCACGACGGCAAGGGCTCCTGCTCGATGCAGCCTCACGATTTGCTCCGAGAGCCCCTGGCCAGGAAGGCCCCCGAACTCAGGAACGGCGCTCTCGCTCGAGACTTTCTCGCGATTCAATCAAATTGGTGGAGGCCCAACTACGACGACAAGGGCTCTCGTTTGACACTTCCTCAAGATGCATTCGCAGGAGCCCTTGCCAAAGAAGCCCCCGAACTCAAGAGTGGCGCTCTCGCTCAGGATATTCCCGTAATTCACGGAACTCGGTGGAGGCCCAGACACTTCGACAAGGGATCCCGTTCGATATTTCTCAATATGTATTCCGAGAGCCCCTGGCCTGGCCAGAGAGGCCCCCGAACTCAGGAACGGCACTCTCGCTCGAGCGTTCCTCGCACTTCAGTCAGTGGCCGACAAGGAAGATGTTCCTCCCGAAAGGGGGTTGCGATCGAAGACGAAGTGGGCGGGTATCGAGGGTTGGGGTATAAAGAATACAAAGCATGCGTGCCATTAAGAGCGAACAACCTTAACATGATTGTTGTTGTTGCTGCTGCTGCTGTTAGTGATGCTGCTGTTGTTGGTGGTGTTGGTTTTGTTGCTGTTGCTGCTGCTGTTGTTGTTGCTCTCGGCGCCTCGAGGCCTTCAGGTGCGAGGCCGCCCTGACCAGCCTCGGAGCCTCCAGAAGGCGCCGTGTGCCTCGGCCTGGCCGGCAGGAGGCGGCCCCGACGTGGGCCCGACGGGGGCACCGCGGGAGGGCTCCTCCTCCTCCTCCTCCTCCTCGTCCTCCTCCTCCTTCTCCTCCTCTTCCTCCTCCTCCTCCTCGTCCTCCTCGTCCTCCTCCTCCTCCTCCTCCTCCTCCTCCTCCTCCTCCTCCTCCTCCTCCTGCTTGCACTGCGCGAGCGCCCACAATGGTGCGGGCGGGCGGCTGGGCGCTGCCGGCCGACAGTGCGAGGCCGCGTGCCCCGCGCGCGCCCCGCGCACGCCACCAATCGGGGGGGGGCCCCAAAGGGCGCAGTCCTCCGGGGGGCCGCCCCCTCGGGGCGCCCCCCGCCCCCCCCGCCTGCGCTGGCCCGCAGGCCCTCCGGGGCGGGGCTGGCGCTCGCGGCGGGAGGGGCCTGCCCCGAGGGGGCCCCTCCCTGCTGCGCGCGGTCCAGACACGCAGTGCCTCCTCCCCCCCTCCCTCCCTCCCTTTCTGCTCCTCCCTCGTGCATTCCCCCCTCCCGCCTCATTCTCCTCGGTCCTCCCCCTCGTTCGTCCCCTCCCTCGTTCATCCCCCCCTCTCGTTCATCCCCCTCTCCTCCTGCTCCTCCCTCCCTCGTTCATCCCCCTCCCTCGTTCATGCCCCCTCCTTCCTCATTCTCCTCCGTCCTGCCCTCCTCCTTCCCTGCCGCTGCGAGATGGATGGCCTCACACACCTCTGCACGTCGTGGGGAAAGTCCCCGCGGCTTGTGTTCGGCATTTGCCGGCATCCTGGAGTTGCTTCTTCTCCAAGCTGACCCACCCAGGATACGATGAGCGTCCTGCTCGCGGGCGCTGCGAGCCCTGTCGCTCACTCACGCGACTTCGCCTCGCCCGCAAGCGCGCCACCTACGACACGGAATGACATCGAAGCTGCTGTTTTTCTGAATGGGGTCGCTACGATCTCACGTCCATCCTCCGACGCTGCAGCGAGTGCATCGATTCAACGATCGAATCAACAAAAACATCTGCGCGCGCATCTTCAGACGCTCAAAACACGAAACCGTGAAGCACATCGAGGCACTGACAATTCCGCGGTCGGGAGAGCGGACGCAGGAAACACGTCACTGATCGGATGAACGCGAGGGGAATCGACAGCGACACATTGCGATGAGAGAAGACATTGGCAGAGCAGACACTCAAAGGGGAACCACTGAGAACGGAGGGATGTTGTTTGCCCACACGGCGGAGGTTTGTCCCACAGCTCCTTTCCAAAGACGTCGGCTGTCAGCGAGCGCACGCGCTCCTTGCAATGCAAGCTTGACTTGGCTTTCTGAATGCAAATATGACACGTGACAGGATGCGGAACCTCTTGAAATCCATTCTGGACCCTCTCACACATGTGCCATCTTCCATGTGATGCAGTCTGGGAGCCATCAATGACTATCAAAACTGTGCACCATGTCAACCTGTTTATCGACCTCTATCTCGCCCCCCACCAATCCCATCACAACAAATATATACATGGCACCTCTGCGTATGATACCACCATTCGGTTGATAATCATGGTGAGGGTGGGGCAACTCTCGGTTTGCAATCGATCCGCTCCGCTCTCGGTAAATGTGTAGCCTAAGCGGCCACTAGATCTACCCGTTTGCTGGTCGAACCCATCTGTGTGTTCTGTGTGTCCATCTGTCTATCATATCCTGAATATGCCGCGCCGGGTATGATGTCGCTGCTGGTCGTCGGGACTTGTGACGGGCCGACGACAGGTGACCAAGCAACACTGCTTTGCAAAAGCGTTGGCATTCGGCGGGCAACGGCGAGACTCTGTAGACTGGCGCTCACGGATACGCCACCGCTCTCCTATCCGCCACTACAGGGCTCAGGTGCTCTCCGAACGTCTTACACTTTCCCTGGGTGCGTGGCTGAAACGGGGCTCCGCGATGCCAACTCTCGCTGTTCTCATTCTCACTGCCGCCCCTGCCCCGCGACACCTCCGAGCCCCACCCGGTGATCCGCTGGGGACCTGCCCGCGCCCCGCCTCGACGCCCAGCCGCGACCGACCCAGCGATCCGTTCACCGATCCGCCCGCGATCCGCCCGTGACCCGCCGCGCCATTCGACGGGCGACCCGCCTAAGACCTGTCCGCAGCCCAAGACACTTTTATGTTTTGAAAAGTCGGCGCCTGCGGCGGGCCCGTGGTGTCAAAAGTCGGCGCCTGCACGCTTGGTTTCGAGCATCGCACGCTGCCGATGGCCCCCCAGGCCCACCACTCTGACCCGCCGCTGCGGGGCCCTACGGCGTCTACTTGTCTACCTCGTCTTGACCCCAACTGACTCGGGAGCTGCCAGAGGTGACCCTGCCGCAAAGTGCGCCCACGCCCTCTAGCGCACCCAGCACGAGGCGCAGAAGGCCCCAGGGAATTCTTCACGGTGCGGAAAAATCTGGGGGCACCCCGGACCAGGAGCACCTGCGGCGGGCCGAGCTGAGCAGCGAACCCCCTACCCCCTAATGCGGGATGACGATTAATAAAAAAATGGGGGGGAACGATTAAAAAATAAGCCTGACGAAAGACCCAACCATACGTAGTTGTGAATACCGCAATTGTGGATATATTCCTCGGTGGCGCCCCCGGGCCACGAAACGAGTGAGGGGTGTGCCGAAATGGGGGGGTGGAACCGCATGCGAGCGCAGCCACTGGGGCGTTCGGTGGAGCTCCCTATGGGGCCACGAAACGTGTGAGGGGTGTGCCAGAATGGGGGGTGGAACCGCATGCGGGCGCAGCCACTGGGGCCTTCGGTGGAGCTCCCTATGGGGCCACGAAACGTGTGAGGGGTGTGCCAGAATGGGGGGTGGAACCGCATGCGGGCGCAGCCACTGGGGCCTTCGGTGGAGCTCCCTATGGGGCCACGAAACGTGTGAGGGGTGTGCCAGAATGGGGGGTGGAACCGCATGCGGGCGCAGCCACTGGGGCCTTCGGTGGAGCTCCCTATGGGGCCACGAAACGTGTGAGGGGTGTGCCAGAATGGGGGGTGGAACCGCATGCGGGCGCAGCCACTGGGGCCTTCGGTGGAGCTCCCTATGGGGCCACGAAACGTGTGAGGGGTGTGCCAGAATGGGGGGTGGAACCGCATGCGGGCGCAGCCACTGGGGCCTTCGGTGGAGCTCCCTATGGGGCCACGAAACGTGTGAGGGGTGTGCCAGAATGGGGGGTGGAACCGCATGCGGGCGCAGCCACTGGGGCCTTCGGTGGAGCTCCCTATGGGGCCACGAAACGTGTGAGGGGTGTGCCAGAATGGGGGGTGGAACCGCATGCGGGCGCAGCCACTGGGGCCTTCGGTGGAGCTCCCTATGGGGCCACGAAACGTGTGAGGGGTGTGCCAGAATGGGGGGTGGAACCGCATGCGGGCGCAGCCACTGGGGCCTTCGGTGGAGCTCCCTATGGGGCCACGAAACGTGTGAGGGGTGTGCCAGAATGGGGGGTGGAACCGCATGCGGGCGCAGCCACTGGGGCCTTCGGTGGAGCTCCCTATGGGGCCACGAAACGTGTGAGGGGTGTGCCAGAATGGGGGGTGGAACCGCATGCGGGCGCAGCCACTGGGGCCTTCGGTGGAGCTCCCTATGGGGCCACGAAACGTGTGAGGGGTGTGCCAGAATGGGGGGTGGAACCGCATGCGGGCGCAGCCACTGGGGCCTTCGGTGGAGCTCCCTATGGGGCCACGAAACGTGTGAGGGGTGTGCCAGAATGGGGGGTGGAACCGCATGCGGGCGCAGCCACTGGGGCCTTCGGTGGAGCTCCCTATGGGGCCACGAAACGTGTGAGGGGTGTGCCAGAATGGGGGGTGGAACCGCATGCGGGCGCAGCCACTGGGGCCTTCGGTGGAGCTCCCTATGGGGCCACGAAACGTGTGAGGGGTGTGCCAGAATGGGGGGTGGAACCGCATGCGGGCGCAGCCACTGGGGCCTTCGGTGGAGCTCCCTATGGGGCCACGAAACGTGCGAAGGGTGTGCCAGAATGGGGGGTGGAACCGCATGCGGGCGCAGCCACTGGGGCCTTCGGTGGAGCTCCCTATGGGGCCACGAAACGTGTGAGGGGTGTGCCACAATGGGTGTGGGATGGGGAGGAGGGGGGAGGAAGGGGAGGAGGAGGAGGAGAGGAGGAGAACGCGGGGCGACGTCTCTTCAAAACGAGGACCCAACACCACAGGATGGTTGGGAAAAAATCATGCCATTTCTGCACAATGTTCTGACTGGAGGAGAACGGTGAGAAGTCATAGTTCTCCAGCCCGCGGCCGGTTTTTTCTAAAAGTCATCCCGGGCGCCGCCGCGTGAACACGACCCCCGGTCATTTATGAATCGTCATCCTCCATTACCCAGCGGTCCATCGATCACTTTGAGCTGAGCCAGTGGAGACACGCAGCGGGCTGCCCGCAGGACCACCAGAGGACGACCACGGAGCACCTCTGCAGACACGCGGCGGGCGCGCGCGCCGTACCCAGCTGACAAGAAATGCCCCGCTCTGGGCCAGGTTCTCTCTCGCCATCGCGTACTCCAGACTTCGTAATAAAAGGGAGGGGGTCTGGACCCTCCAAGACAAGCCATTTCAGACCCCCCCCGGGGGAGACCCCTCCAAAACATCGTCCCCAGACCCCCCAGGCCCTCCAAGATAGCCTGGAAGAGACCCCCCCCGAAATGAGACCCCCCTCCCTTTATTACGAAATCTGGAGTAAGGTCGCCTCGCCAAAACCCCGACACGAACCGAGACCAGAATCGATTGCCTGGGCCGGGGGGCGGGTCGTTACAAGTCGGCCTCATGCCCAGATGTCCCAGGAAGACACTCGGGCGCGGAGGAAGCATGTGAAACTATTGCATGGCCCAAGCGAACGGAATTTTCCAAACGGAGTCGAGTCAGTACTTGCGCATCGATCACCCCATGTCTCCCCCGGAAGCACAGGGACGCAACGAACATCCTCTCATCTTCCCATCTCCAGAGTCCCCTGCACATGCCGCTTCCGCCCACCTTCTGCAATGACCCGCTCCGCTTCACGTCCGCGGGCCTCTGCCGGATGAGAGATGCATCTTGATTTCGTGATCCCCGAGCGGCGAGGTCCTTTCCTGCACGCCCTGTATCCGACCCTGCCTCTCATCCCTGAAGGGGGCCCAGGACACACAAGTAAATACACACAAATAAACATATGCCCCATATTGTCCCATATGTTCTGGGTTTTCGTCTTCCCCCCCACTTCCCGTATTGTCCCATATTTTCTGGGGAATCGACGATGAATTGTGTCTGTGTGTTTCTTTCCCTCCTGACTCTCATCCTCTCGTCTGTAACTGCGAGGCTGTCCACACGCTGTCCTCGAGCGCCACCAGGCGGTCGCAGGGGCCCCCGACCAGCGGCGTAGGCGAACCGTCGCGCCCTGCGGCGCCAGCTCCCCTTCGCACGATGTGGTGCCAGTGTGGCCCGCAGCAGGCATCACAGTCAGAGACCTGCCGCCGGATGCCACCCAGGGTGGCGACCTGGAGCCTAGAGTAAGGTCGGGGATGGGGGTTGGACCGGGATTCGAGTCAGGGCAAGCGTTCGGCCCGAGTGGGGCATTCTGCTCGGCCGTGGGGGGGGAACGCAAACAGACAGACCCCGAACGCCACGCAAAGCGAGCCACATCGGCCGAATCCCTCTCCAGAAGCTCGACTGCCATCGGCCGCGCCACGGGACCCGTTGGGTCGATCGTGGGCCCCACGGAAGCGGGGAGGACAGCCGCGGGATTCGGCGGCTGGGAATGGGGGGGGGATCCATCGGGTACGTGGGAGGGGGCACCGCTGCTGCCCACACTGGCACCCCCCAAAACTTGTCCACGCACGTCTCGGACACTCGACCTGCGCCTCGGCTCCCAGCGACATGGGAAGGAGAACCACAGCGGCAGGAGCAGCCTTTCTCGGCGACCTGCGCGGCTATTTCCTGGACCGGCACTGGGCCCCCCGCGCCGGGGACGGCACCGGAGGCGCCGCCGGGAGGCCCCACGCTGGCCGAACCCAGGCGCGCAGGCCACTGCTGGGAGGGCCCCTGCGGGCCCGTACCAGAGCGTACCCCAGCGAAGGGCCACCTGTGGGGGAGCCCAAAAGGAAGACGAGACCACTACGCCCTGGAGCCCTCCCGGGGTGCGTTCTGGCCAGAACTCGCGATGCTGGGTCCCGCCGTAGCGACGAGGGCCTCCCAGGAGGCCCCAAAAACACGAAACCAAGGAAAAGCCAACGGTATATATATATATATATATATATATATAGAGAGATACCTCCTCCTCCTCCTCCTCCTCCTCCTCCTCCTCCGCGGAATCGAGACGCCAATGTTTCTTCATTCTCGGACTCTGGAGGCCAATGCCCAGGCCCCGTGGCCGTCAGACCACGACCCAGGACGAAGAAGCAGGCCCCGGGGAGAGCGGCCGAGAGGTCGGGAGTCCCCCGCGCCTCCAAAAGTGTCGAGGCGCCGGCTGTCTGACGGGCCACGCCCCGCGAACGGCTATACGCTTACGCGCATGGCCGGACCAAGACGGCGGCGAGGAGCACCCCGGCGAAGGGCCTTCCCTGACTCCGGATCCGCCCTACTTTGGCTTTTTTTGTCCAACTTAGAGTTGCGTCGGAAATCCACCTAGAAGAGGCCGAAAAAGTAGGGCGGAAATTGCTGCACCCAACCTAAAATAGGGCGGAAACCCACAGAAATAGCAACAGAAAAGTAGGGCGGAAATTGGCATCAGCGGGGCTTGAAAAGTAAGGCGGAAATTCCAAGTCCCACTTACGCATTTCCCCAAAGTAGGGCGGATCCGGAGTCAGGGTATACTCTTACGCGTATGGCCGGACCAAGACGGTGGCGAGGAGCACCCCGGCGAAGGGCCTTGTGCAGCAACTCGCGGGCGCGCCTCCCGTGTCATGTGGCTGGCTCTGGCGAATCGATGCCAAGCGACGCGAATCATCGCTGGCCAACGCTGAGGCGAGGCTTATGAAAGCTCCATCGGCGCATCCTCATCGACTGCCAGACACAAGCCGCTAGCGGGCGCGCATGCCTTCCAAAGACGGGCT